AGGCACTGCAGAGCTTGTGGTCTGTCTTTAGTGAAGACCGCACCGTTTAAATAGTAGTCAGTTTTTGGAGAGCATACATGATAGCATATGCTTCCCCTCTATTACTAGCCACCTCTTTGTGTCTCTGAGCTTATGGGAAGGTATATCGGTACTTCCTCTGGTATGCCTGGCACTGGTCCTTCCTTATCCAGGACACGCTGAGTGTACTGCCCTACACACTGCTCCACCTGGCATCCGTGTATAATATCATGGGCCCTTGCTAAAGATCTGGATACGTCAGCAGTGGAACGGTCGTCAACTGTTTCTTTAGGAATCAAATGCTCGTTGACAGTCCTCTGTCTTGAACCTAACGTATTTCTTCGTCAGGCCACTAGCGGTATAAGGCTGGGTTAAGCAGGTGGGAACAGGAAGAAAAGCTCAAGTGAGCCTCTTCCTAACTTGCAGGAGAAAGAACTATCCTGTAGAGCAGAGATAGGTGGTAGAAGAGATGAGGGCTTTGGTGGACACAGGAACATCTGTGTCATTGATGAGAGAGAAACATACAGGCGGGTGAAATGGAAGAAAGGTTACAGGGAAGCAGACATAGAATCACGCAGGCAGATGGACCCCTCCTGGTTAAAAGGGATGGTGAGGCTCCCAGTGAGATGGGAGGGTGAAAAACACCAAAATTTTACGTAACCCCCGACCTGTGTGCACTGAGGCAATCAGGGAAGATTGGCTCCGGAGCCAGAAAGGCCCAGATCAATTTAATCCCCTACTGTGTTGGTGGTGAACGGCGAGAGAACGCCATTGGGATCTCCACCATGAAGGGAAGATAACCATAGTGGTGGAGGAAGATGGCAGTTACCTCCTAGGACCGCAGTGTCCGGGGAAAGGGTAGGCTAATGTCAGAAAAAAAGGTACAGGAGGACCTCTGCAGTTGGTCCCTGTAGAAGGAAAGGGCCCTAGAAGATAACGAGGGTAACCCTGTGCGAAACTGTTAGTGGAGGCAGCCGAGTTAGTGCCATAATGATGGTGAACCAGGCCCAAAAGACTATAAAAGGTTAGGAGAGGGGGAAGATAGGGAGAGCTCTTCCCCTACGAACTCTGAATCGGGTGAATTCGAGGAGGAAAAGGAAACTAGTAGAGCAAAGGGGAATCTTGGAGATGAGGATATATTAGCACCGGATCAATTTTAGAACCAGAGTGGGAGGTCTGTTAAGGGACAATCGAGATGTGGTGGCCCCAGTCAGACAGGAGCTAGGTCCATTAGCAGCCATAGGCGCCGGTATTAATAAATCACCTTCATTTTTTCATGAGGGTGGGTTTGCGCCCCCCTGCCTGGGCGACCCCGGCCGGACCTCGGTCTCCATGGCCGTTTTTAAAATACAGTTTCTTTTCAGGTGTCTGGCCTCCTGCAAAACCAACCTTGTTGTTGGACAGCTTGCCGCAAAGTGGCCCCTTGACCACATGTGTCAACATTTTGCTCTTTTCCCTTTTAACTGGGTTGGCCTTGTGTCTATCCTCAGGGAACCGTCCTCTGTTCAAGCGGTTCCCACCCACTGGTCCAAGTTTTTTTATTTCTCTCCTTTTTAACTAGGCCACCCTCCCTCTTAATTCTGGGGTGGCCCACTTTGGCTTTTCCCTGGGCCGGTCTCTTGGGCTCCAGCCTTCTTTGTTAACATCGGTGGGGCACCCTTCCTCAGCCCGCACCACTTGGCCAGTGTCCTTTCTTACCACACCTGGTGCATCTGTCCCTGATTGAGATCAAGGGGCTTCCCCCACTTCGTCGGACATTCCGCCGCCCTGTATGGTCCTCGTACCCACAGGTCCAGGCTCAGCCCGTATCGACCCGGCGTGGGCTTATAAAAGCCATGCCTGGTCGACCATACTCCTTCTATTGGGTCCTCCTCCCATAATTCTGCCCGATCCACCTCTTCCTTAACCCTCTGATTCCACACGGGGTTCTTCCATCCCTTCTTCCAGCCTCTTGACTTGGTATCTGCTTCTTTCCCACACCTCTTCACTTTATCCCACCCCCTGGCTCTCCTGGCCAGCCCTATCGCTACCAACAGTCTGAGCGGTCCTTCTTTCAATACGTCGTGACGAACACGCTCGTCGCTCAGCCTTTCCTCTTACAGGTCCGCCAATTGGGCCTGCACTTAACCGCATTATCTGACCACTTCGGGGAATGCCAACGACGATAACTTCCCCGCTCGGGCCCCTAATTCTCCCGGGGTTTCATCCCGTAGCTGTATCAGTTTCGAGGGCCCTCATGGCCTCTATGGCCGTACCTTCAATCGCTGGCGAATTCTGGTTGTAGTCTTTTTGTTTCTTCCCCAAGACAAGCGGGTTGGTTCTCCAGAGAGCCCCTCACGAACTCAGACGCTTTTTCCCTTTTAGCAGCATCGTATGCCAAGTACAGGGTTTCTTGGTCAAAAGCTCGTAGATGGTTCGGCTCTTCTCGAGAATTGCCAGCCAGTTTTAATCCTTCCCGCTGCCATCAAATACAGGACCCTCGGTCCACCCAATAACTATGAAATCCACTGACAGCCCCGCCCTACTTCTTACCCCCACTGCCTATCCGAATCATAGTCAGACATGTCTACAGAAAAGACGGTCTAGCCACAGCAACAATCCAGGTTGGGAAATAAAATAGGTGTCTACCGGGCAATTCTGTTCTGCTTCTTTTCCTTTTGTCCCGGGTCGTTCTGAGTTTGTCTAGATTTTCAGCAACGGCGATTCGATCATCATCAGTCTTCTCAGGGTTGAAATCCCTCGGTCACTGCACCACTTGACGTGGTTGTCTCAGGGTTGATCCGTTGGTCACGGCACCACATGTGACGGTTACACACCTGGCCTAAGGTCGAATCCCTTGATTACAGCGCCAACTGTGACGTCGTTCCTCCTGGTCGCTCCTCCTGGTTTCAAGCGTGCCGCTCCAACCCCTTGGTTGAATGATCACCAGCCTCGCCTTTCCCAACTCGCTTCCAATACCTGGTTACTGAAGCAACTGTACTGATCTCGGTCTGTCTACCCCGCTGTGTTTAGATCTTGAACAGACGGGACCAGCGAAAGTTAGGGCCGATACAGGTTAGTCCGACAGGGGTGGCAAAACAGAAGTAAAAAAAAAAAACTCACGAGACAAAAGAAATTGCTGATAAAAAATTAACAACCTTTTATATCTAATATCCGTTATAAAACAAAATTGTTTCTCAATTCTGACCGCTCTGTGGACTGTAACAAGCTTCTATCACACAACCATGGATTTCAATTGCCTACTCTTTAGAATGTGTATGTCAGGTGTGTTTTAGCTCGACACTGGGGCTAATTTCTATCGATCATTCGCAGTTGATTCTTCTTCTTCATCGGCTTAGATAGAACTTCTCTTGTCTTCGACTTGGCTGGATCTTCTCTGCGGCTTTCGGTAATCTTCTTTCGTCCGCGGGCTGGAAGTTCTTCGTCTTCGACTTGGTGGAAAGATTCTGTCTTCGACTTGGGTGGAAAGGATTTCTTGCCACCAACTCAGCCCTTCTCTCAACTCAACTGATTTCTGTCGACTGGGGTCCTGCTTTTTATTGACGCCGCAACCGACCGGGAATTGGGTCTGTTGGCGTCAGGGTTTCCTCGATAATTCCAATAGCCACCCATAATTCTGTTTCCCCATTATCGCTATTGTTTTTCACCCCTACTTCCCTACGAGTGCCTTTGGTGGGAGGCGTACACCATCTCTCCGGTTTCTCGTATGTCAGGTGACCGTTTTTTGACCAATGGTTCCTGATCGAGCATTCTTCTCTTCTTTCCGCATATCACGTGACCGCCCTCGGCCAATGAGATTGTGGTTGGCGCCTCCATCTCAAATCAGGGCGTGGCCCCATCGTTTTCTTTTTTAAAAACAAAATCTAATTTTGCCCTTTTCGCACGTACGAAAAATGACAATCTTGGCTTTTTTCAACTGGGCTCTGTCAAAACAGCCTGCGCTAATTAGATGTGACTTGAAAAGAATATTGGCACCATCTGACTGAGACAATCGTTTTTTACCTCTTGTTTTGTCAAACCCGACAGTCAGAAAATCTTAATTATCTACATTGAAAATGTCCCCTTTATTATCGTGGGTTTTCAATTCTTAATAGGCAGATCTGTATACCGTTCCACCGGTCACTCCCTCAACCAAAGACACTTTTTCTCCGATTAAAAAAAAAAATTTCGTTTCTATTGTTCTAAAAGAAATTCCCCTTTCTCAATTTGACAATAAGGTCTTTCCACGCAAAAAGTAGGCTAGGTGCTTTGACCGATATTCTTATCGCCAATACACACAATCATCAAGCCAGAGTTCTGTTTTCCCTCTAAATGATTTTCATTTCAAATAATTCTCTATTGTCTTTTAAAATTCAGCCAACACATGGCCAAGATATCTTTCTGACACTATCTTCGCTTATGACGGGTCGCCATCATCCATCTCTCTTTCCTTTTTTCCCTTTCTTCCTCTTTTTCTTCCCTTCTTCTTCTTTCCTGCCGGATCGTCTAAGTACAACTTTAGTGAATTATTTTTCAACTCAATTTTTTTCGTTTAAAAAAAAACCAACCGCCTGTTTAATAAACCGAGTAAAAAAAAAATTAAATCTTATTTATCAATATTTCTAATAATGCAAGGTTACCACACTTAAAACTGGAGAGTGAAGCCTGAACACACTTGATTGAAATGACGAGGAAAACTTTTTGGGACACTTGAAACTGGAGAGTGAAGCTTGAACACACACTTGATAGAAATGACGAGGAAAACGCTTTTTGGACACTTGAAACTGGAGTGAAGCTTGAACAAAACTTGATAGAAATGACGAGGAAACGCTTTTGGACACTTGAAAACTGGAGAGTGAAGCCTGAACACACTTGATAGAAATGACGAGGAAACGCTTATTGGACACTTGAAAATGGAGAGTGAAGCCTGAACACACTTGATAGAAATAACGAGGAAACGCTTTTGAAACTTGAAACTGGAGAGTGAAGCCTGAACAAAATCGTTAGAAATGACGAGGAAACGCATTTGGACACTTGAAACTGGAGAGGAAGCCTGAGTACACTTGATAGAAATGACGAGGAAACGCTTTTGGACCTTTAAAACTGGAGAGTGAAGCCTGAACACACTTGATAAAAATGACGAGGAAACGCTTTTGGGACACTTTGAAACTGAGAGGAAACCTGAACAAACTTGATAGAAATGACGAGGAGACGCTTTTTGGACACTTGAAACTGGGGAGTGAAGCCTGAACACACTTGATAGAAATGACGAGGCTACGTTTTTGGACACTTGAAACTGGAGAGTGAAGCCTGAACGTTAGAAATGACGAAGAAACGCTTTTGGACACGTAAAACCGGAGAGTGAAGCCTGAAATGACGTAGAAACGCTTGGACATAGAAATGAGTGAAGGAATCACTTTTGGACAATGAGGACCGCTTTTGGAACACTTTGCAACGGGAGTGAAGCCTGGAACACAATTGATAGAAAATGAGGAGGGAAACGTTTTGGACACTTGAAACTGGAGAGGAAGCCTGAACAAACTTGATAAAAATGACGTAAACGCTTTTGGACACGTGAAACTGGAGAGTGAAGCCTAAACACACTTCATAGAAAATGACGAGGAAATCGCTTTTGAACACTTGAAACGGGAGATTGAAGCCTGAACACAATTGATTGATGACGAGGAAACGCTTTTTGGACACTTGGAACTGGAGAGTGGAAGCCCTGAACACTTCTTGATAGAAATGACGAGGAAAACGCTTTTGGACACTTGAAACTGGAGGAGTGAAGCCTGAACAAACTTGATAGAAAAATGACGAGGGAAAACGCTTGGACACTTGAAATCAAGAGTATTGAAAATGGACGAGCTTGATTGAAAATAAACGAGCTTGATTCGAAAATGGACGAGCTTGATTGAAAATAAACGAGCTTGATTGAAAATAAACGAGCTTGATTGAAATGGACGAGCTTGATTGAAAATAAACGAACTTGATTGAAAATGGACGAGCTTGATTGAAAATAAACGAGCTTGATTGAAAATGGACGAGCTTGATTGAAAATAAACGAACTTGATTGAAAATGGACGAGCTTGATTGAAAATAAACGAGCTTGATTGAAAATAAACGAACAATTGAAAAATTGAAAATGGACGAGCTTGATTGAAAAATAAACGAACTTGATTGAAAATGGACGAGCTTGATTGAAAATGGACGAGCTTGATTGAAATGGACGAGCTTGATTGAAAATAAACGAGCTTGATTGAAAAATGGACGAGCTTGATTGAAAATAAACGAACTTGATTGAAAATGGACGAGCTTGATTGAAATAAACGAACTTGATTGAAAATGGACGAACAATTTGATTGAAAATGGAAGCTTGGAAAAAAAAACGAACTTGATTGAAAATGGACGAGCTTGATTGAAAATAAACGAACTTGATTGAAAAAATGGACGAGCTTGATTTGAAAATGGACGAGCTTGATTGAAAATGGACGATTGAAAGCTTGATTGAAAATGGACGAGCTTGATTGAAAATGGACGATTGAAAATGGACGAGCTTGATTGAAAATGGACGAGCTTGATTGAAAATAAACGAGCTTGATTGAAAATGGACGAAAATGGACGCTTGATTGAAAATAAACGAACTTGATTGAAAATGGACGAGCTTGATTGAAAATGATTGAAAATTGAAATGGAACTTGATTGAAAATGGACGAGCTTGATTGAAAATAAACGAGCTTGATTGAAAAATTGAAAATAACGAGCTTGATTGAAAATAAACGAACTTGATTGAAAAAATGGACGAGCTTGATTGAAAATGGACGAGCTTGATTGAAAATAAACGAGCTTGATTGAAAATGGACGAGCTTGATTGAAAATAAACGAGCTTGATTGAAAATGGACGAGCTTGATTGAAAATAAACGAAGCTTGATTGAAAAATGGATTGTTTTGATTGAAAATAAAACGAACTTGATTGAAAATGGACGAGCTTGATTGAAAATAAACGAACTTGATTGAAAAAATGGACGAGCTTGATTGAAAAATAAACGAACTTGATTGAAAATGGACGAGCTTGAAAATAAACGAACTTGATTGAAATGACGAAAAATGGACGAGCTTGATTGAAAATAAACGAACTTGATTGAAAATGGACGAGCTTGATTGAAAATGGACGAGACTTGATTGAAAATAAACGAACTTGATTGAAATGGACGAGCTTGATTGAAAATAAACGAACTTGATTGAAAATGGACGAGCTTGATTGAAAATAAAATTGAAAATGGACGAGCTTGATTGAAAATAAACGAACTTGATTGAAAATGGACGAACTTGATTGAAAATGGACGAGCTTGATTGAAATAAACGAGCTTGATTGAAAATGGACGAGCTTGATTGAAAATGGACGAGCTTGATTGAAAATGGACGAGCTTGATTGAAAATGGACGAGCTTTGATTGAAAATTGAAAATGAAAAATAAACGAGCTTGATTGAAAATGGACGAGCTTGATTGAAAATGGACGACTTGATTGAAAATGGACGAGCTTGATTGAAAATAAACGAACTTTGATTGAAAATGGAGCTTGATTGAAAATGGACGAACTTGATTGAAAATGGACGAGCTTGATTGAAAATAAACGAACTTGATTGAAAATGGACGAATTGAAAATGGACGAGCTTGATTGAAAATGGAAATGATTGAAAACGAACTTGATTGAAAATGGACGAGCTTGATTGAAAATAAACGAGCTTGATTGAAAATGGACGAGCTTGATTGAAATGGACGAGCTTGATTGAAATGGACGAGCTTGATTGAAAATGGACGAGCTTGATTGAAAATGGACGAAGCTTGATTGAAAATGGACGAGCTTGATTGAAAAAAATAAACGAACTTGATTGAAAAAATGGACGAGCTTGATTGAAAATAAACGACTTGATTGAAAATGGACGAGCTTGATTGAAAATAAACGAACTTGATTGAAAATGGACGAGCTTGATTGAAAATAAACGAGCTTGATTGAAAATGGACGACTTGATTGAAAAATGGACGAGCTTGATTGAAAGCTTGATTGAAAATGGACGAGATTGATTGAAAATGAAACGATTGATTGAAAAAATGGGACTTGATTGAAAATGGACGAGCTTGATTGAAAATAAACGAGCTTGGATTGAAAATGGACGAGCTTGATTGAAAATGGACGAGCTTGATTGAAAATAAACGAGCTTGATTGAAAATGGGACTTGATTGAAAATTGATTGAAAATGGACGAGCTGTTTTGATTGAAAATAAACGAGCTTGATTGAAATAAAACGAACTTGATTGAAAATGGACGAGCTTGATTGAAAATAAACGAACTTGATTGAAAATGGACGAGCTTGATTGAAAATGGACGAGCTTGATTGAAAAAATGGACGAGCTTGATTGAAAATGGACGAGTGTGGTTTTGATTGAAAATGGACGAGCTTGATTGAAAATGGACGAGCTTGATTGAAAATGGACGAGCTTTGATTGAAAATGGACTTCGACTTGATTGAAAATGGACGAGATTGATTGAAAATGGACGAGCTTGATTGAAAATAATCGAGATTGATTGAAAAATGGACGAGCTTGATTGAAAATAAACGAACTTGATTGAAAATGGACGAGCTTGATTGAAAATGGACGAGCTTGATTGAAAATTTGATTGAAAATGGACGAGCTTGATTGAAAAAAAATTGAAAATGGACGAGATTGATTGAAAATGGACGAGATTGATTGAAAATAAACGAGATTGATTGAAAATGGACGAGCTTGATTGAAAATAAAACGAAGCTTGATTGAAAATGGACGAGCTTGATTGAAAAATGGACGAGCTTGATTGAAAATAAACGAACTTGATTGAAAATGGACGAGATTGATTGAAATAATCGAACATGATTGAAAAATGGACGAGCTTGATTGAAAATGGACGAGCTTGATTGAAAATAAACGAAGCTTGATTGAAAATGGACGAGATTGAAATTGAAATGGACGGGCTTGATTGAAAATGGACGAGCTTGATTGAAAATGGACGAGATTGATTGAAAATGGACGAGCTTGATTGAAAATGGACGAGCTTGATTGAAAATGGACGAGCTTGATTGAAAATGGACGAGCTTGATTGAAAATGGACGAGCTTGATTGAAAATGGACGAGCTTGATTGAAAATAAACGAGCTTGATTGAAAATGGACGAGCTTGATTGAAAATAAACGAGATTGATTGAAAATGGACGAGATTGATTGAAAATGGACGAGCTTGATTGAAAATGGACGAGCTGATTGAAAATAAACGAACTTGATTGAAAATGGACGAGATTGATTGAAAATGGACGAGCTTGATTTGATTGAAAATAAACGAACTTGATTGAAAATGGACGAGCTTGATTGAAAAATGGACGAGCTTGATTGAAAATAAACGAACTTGATTGAAAATGGACGAGATTGAAAAAAATCGAACATGATTGAAAATGGACGAGCTTGATTGAAAATGGACGAGTTTTATTGAATTGAATGGAAAAATGAAATTGAAAATGGACGAGATTGAAAATAAACGAACATGATTGAAAAAAATGGACGAAAATAAAGCTTGATTGAAAATGGACGAGCTTGATTGAAAATAAACGAGCTTGATTGAAAATAAACGAACTTGATTGAAAAAATGGAAAATTGATTGAAAAATAATCGAACATGATTGAAAATGGACGAGCTTGATTGAAAATGGACGAGCTTGATTGAAAATGGACGAGCTTGATTGAAAATGGACGAGATTGAAAATAATCGAACATGATTGAAAATGGACGAGCTTGATTGAAAAAAATAAACGAACGATTGAAAATGGACGAGCTTGATTGAAAATGGACGAGCTTGATTGAAAAATGGACGCGATTGATTGAAAATGGGCTTGATTGAAAATAAACGAACTTGATTGAAAATGGACGAGATTGATTGAAAATGACGAGCTTGATTGAAAAACGAGCTTGATTGAAAAATGGACGAGCTTGATTGAAAAATGCTTGATTGAAAATAAAAACGCTTTGATTGAAAATAAACGAACTTGATTGAAAATGGACGAGCTTGATTGAAAATGGACGAACTTGATTGAAAATGGACGAACTTGATTGAAAATGGACTTGATTGAAAATAAACGAACTTGATTTGAGATTGAAAATGGACGCGATTGATTGAAAATGGACGCTTTGATTGAAAATGGACGAGCTTGATTGAAAATGGACGAACTTGATTGAAAATGGACGAGCTTGATTGAAAATGGACGAGCTTGATTGAAAATAAACGAACTTTGATTGGAAAATTGAAAAAAAATCGAACATGATTGAAAAATGGACGAGCTTGATTGAAAATGGACGAGCTTGATTGAAAATAAACGAGCTTGATTGAAAATGGACGAGATTGATTGAAAAAATAATCGAACATGATTGAAAAATGGACGAGCTTGATTGAAAATGGACGAGCTTGATTGAAATAAACGAACTTGATTGAAAATGGACGAGCTTGATTGAAAATGGACGAACTTGATTGAAAATGGACGAGCTTGATTGAAAATGGACGAGCTTGATTGAAAATGGACGAGCTTGATTAAAAAAAATGGACGAGCTTGATTGAAAATAACGAACTTGATTGAAAATGGACGAGCTTGATTGAAAAAATGGACGAGCTTGATTGAAAATAAACGAACTTGATTGAAAATGGACGAGATTGAAAATAATCGAACATGATTGAAAATGGACGAGCTTGATTGAAAATGGACGAGTTTTTATTGAAATAAACAAGTTTGATTGAAAATGGACGAGATTGAAAATAATCGAAATTGATTGAAAATGGACGAGCTTGATTGAAAATGGACGAGCTTGATTGAAATTTTGAAAATAAACGAACTTGATTGAAAATGGACGAGCTTGATTGATTGAAATGGAAGCTTGATTGAAAATGGACGAACTTGATTTGAAAATGGACGAGATTGATTGAAAAAAATGGACGAGCTTGATTGAAAATGGACGAACTTGATTGAAAATGGACGAGCTTGATTGAAAGCTTGATTGAAAAACGAGCTTGATTGAAAATGGACGAACTTGATTGAAAATGGACGAGAAACTTGATTGAAAAAAATGGACATGATTGAAAATGGACGAGCTTGATTGAAAATGGACGAGCTTGATTGAAAAAATGAACTTGACGAAATGATTGAAAATAATCGAACATGATTGAAAATGGACGAGCTTGATTGAAAATGGACGAGCTTGATTGAAAATGGACGAGCTTGATTGAAAATGGACGAACTTGATTGAAATGGACGAACTTGATTGAAAAAATGGAACAGCTTGATTGAAAATGGACGAGCTTGATTGAAAAAATGGACGAGCTTGATTGAAAATAAACGAGCTTGATTGAAAATGGACGAGATTGAAAATAATCGAACATGATTGAAAATGGACGAGCTTGATTGAAAATGGACGAGCTTGATTGAAAATGGACGAGCTTGAAATTGAAAATAAACGAACTTGATTGAAAATGGACGAGATTGAAAATGGACGAACTTGATTGAAAATGGACGAGCTTGATTGAAAATGGACGACTTGATTGAAAAAATTGAAATGGACGAGCTTGATTGAAAATAAAGGAACTTGATTGAAAATGGACGAGATTGAAAAATAATCGAACTTGATTGAAAATGGACGAGCTTGATTGAAAATGGACGAGCTTGATTGAAAATAATCGAACTTGATTGAAAAATGGACGAGATTGAAAATAATCGAACATGATTGAAAAATGGACGAGCTTGATTGAAAATAAAACTTGATTGAAATGAACGACTTGATTGAAAATAAAGGAGATTGATTGGAAATGGACGATGAGATTGAAAATGGACACACTTTGATTGAAAATGGACGAGCTTTTGATTTTGAAAATGGATTGAAAAATAAACGAGCTTGATTGAAAATGGACGAGAAAACGCTTTGGACACTTGAAACTGGAGAGTGAAGCCTGAACACACTTGATTGAAATGACGAGGAAACGCTTTTTGACACTTTGAAACTGGAGAGTGAAGCCTGAACACACTTTGATAGAAATGACGAGAAATCGCTTTGGACACTTGAAACTGGAGAGTGAAGCCTGAAACACTTGATAGAAATGACGAGGAAACGCTTTTGGAAAACTGAGAGTGAAGCCTGAACACACTTGATAGAAATGACGAGGAAACGCTTTTGGACACTTGAAACTGAGAGGTGGAAATGAACAAAATTGATTGAAAATGACGAGGAAACGCTTTTGGAACGCTTTGGACTTGAAACGAGCTTGAAGCCCTGAACACAAGCTTGATTGAAATGACGAGGAAACGCTTTTGGACACCATTGAAACTGGAGAGGAAGCCTGAACGATAGAAATGACTTGAGAAAATGACGAGGAAACGCTTTTGGACACTTGAAACTGGAGATTGAAAAAGGAACACACTTGATAGAAATGACGAGGAAACGTTTTTGGACACTTGAAACTGGAGAGTGAAGCCTGAAATGGACGAGAAACGCTTTTGATAGAAATGATGAGGAAACGCTTTGGACACCTTGAAACTAACGGAGAAACGAACACTTGATTGAAAAATGACGAGGAAACGCTTTTGGACACTTGAAACTGGAGACGAGAACAAAATTGATAAAAATGACGAGGAAACGCTTTTGGACACTTGAAACTGGAGAGTGAAGCCCGAACACACTTGATAGAAATGACGAGGAAAACGCTTTTGGACACTTGAAACTGAGATTGAAGCCGAACACACTTGATTGAAAAATGACGAGGAAACGCTTTTTGGACACTTGAAACTGGAGAGTGAAGCCTGAACAAACTTGATTGAAAATGACGAGGAAACGCTTTTGGACACTTGAAACTGAGAGTGAAGCCTGAACAACTTTGATAGAAATGACGAGGAGACGCTTTTGGACACTTGAAACTGGAGAGTGAAGAAATGAACGAAACACTTGGATAGAAATGACGAGGAAACGCTTTTGGACTTGATTGAAACTGGAGAGTGAAGCTTGAACAAACTTGATAGAAATGACGAGGGACGCTTTTGGACACTTGAAACTGGAGAGTGAAGCCTGAACACACTTGATTGAAATGACGAGGAAACGCTTTTGGACACTTGAAACTGAGAGTGAAGCCTGAACACAATTGATAGAAATGACGAGAAACGCTTTTGGACACTTGAAACTGAGATTGAAATGGAACACACTTGATAGAAAAAATGACGAGGAAACGCTTTTGGACACTTGAAACTGGAGAGGAAGATGAACACAATTTGATAGAAATGACGAGGAAACGCTTTTTGGACACTTGAAACTGAGAGTGAAGCTTGAACACACTTGATTGAAATAGAAATGACTTCTGAAAGGAAACGCTTTTGAAATGACGAGGAAACGCTTTTTTTTGAACTGGAGAGTGAAGCCTTGAACACACTTGATAGAAATGACGAGGAAACGCTTTGGACACTTGAAACTGGAGAGTGAAGCCTGGACGACACTTGATTGAAAATGACGAGGAAACGCTTTTGGACACTTTTGAAACTGGAGAGGAAGCCCGAACACACTTGATTGAAATGACGAGGAAACGCTTTTGGACACTTGAAACTGGAGAGGAACTTGAACACACTTGATAGAAATGACGAGGAGTCGCTTTTGGACACCATTGAAACTGGAGAGTGAAGCCTGAACACACTTGATAGAAATGACGAGGAAACGCTTTTGGACAATTGAAACTGGAGAGTGAAGCCTGAACACACTTGATAGAAATGACGAGGAAACGCTTTTGGACACTTGAAACTGAGAGTGAAGCCTGAACACACTTTTGATAGAAATGACGAGGAAACGCTTTTGGATTGAAACTGGAGAGTGAAGCCTGAACACTTGATTGAAATGACGAGGAAACGCTTTTGGACACTTGAAACTGGAGATTGAAGCCTGAACACACTTGATTGAAATGACGAGGAAACGCTTTTGGACACTTGAAACTGGAGAGTGAAGCCTGAACACACTTGATAGAAATGACGAGGAAACGCTTTTGGACACTTGAAACTGATAAAATGATTGATAGAAATGACAACATTGAAACTGGAGAGTGAAGCCCCAATTTTGATAGAAATGACGAGGAAACGCAACTTGAACTGAGAGTTGATGAGAAATGACGAGGAAACGCTTTTGGACACTTAAAACTGGAGAGTGAAGCCTTTGGAACACACTTGATAGAAATGACGAGGAAACGCTTTGGACACTTGAAACTGGAGAGTGAAGCCTGAACACACTTGATAGAAATGACGAGGAAACGCTTTTGGACACTTGAAACTGGAGAGTGAAGCCTGAACACTTGATAGAAATGCACTTTGAAATAGAAATGACTTGATTGAAAGGAAACGCTTTGGACACTTGAAACTGGAGAGTGAAGCCTGAACACACTTGATAGAAATGACGAGGAAACGCTTTTGGACACTTGAAACTGGAGAGTGAAGCCTGGAACACACTTGATTGAAAATGACGAGGAAACGCTTTTGGACACTTGAAACTGGAGAGTGAAGCCTGAACAATAATTTGATAGAAATGACGAGGAAACGCTTTTGGACACTTGAAACTGGAGATTGAAGCCTGAACACACTTGATTGAAATGACGAGGAAACGAGGAAACTGGAGATTTTGAACAAATTGAGGAAAAATGGCCAGACTTGATTGGAACTTGAAACCTGAACAACTTGATAGAAATGACGAGGAAACGCTTTGGGACAATTTGAAACTGAGAGAGAAGCCTGAAACACACTTGATAGAAATGACGAGGAAACGCTTTTGGACACTTGAAACTGGAGAGTGAAGCTTGAACACACTTGATAGAAATGACGAGGAAACGCTTTTGGACACTTGAAACTGGACGAAGCCTGAACAAACGGTTTTGACATGATTGAAAATGACGAGGAAACGCTTTTTGGACACTTGAAACTGAGAGTGGGCTGAACACACTTGTCTTAGAAAACGAAATACGCTTTTTGGACACCTTGACTGAAATGACGAGGAAACGCTTTGATAGGAAATGACGAGGAAACGCTTTTGGAGAGGAAGTCGAACACACTTGATAGAAATGACGAGGAAACGCTTTTGGACACTTGAAACTGGAGAGTGAAGCCTGAACACATTTTTTGATAGAAATGACGAGGAAACGCTTTTGGACACTTGAAACTGGAGAGTGAAGCCTGAACACACTTGATAGAAATGACGAGGAAACGCTTTGGACACTTGAAACTGGAGAGTGAAGCCTGGGAAATGACGAGAACAAATTGATGGAGAAAATGACGAGGAAACGCTTTTGGACACTTGAAACTGGAGAGAAGCCTGAACACACTTGATAGAAATGACGAGGAAACGCTTTTGGACACTTTGAAACTGGAGATTGAAGCCTGAACACACTTGATAGAAATGACGAGGAAACGCTTTTGGACACTTGAAACTGGAGAGGAAGCCTGAACACACTTGATAGAAATGACGAGGAAACGCTTTTGGACTTGAAAAACTGGAGACCGGAAGCCTGAATTGATAGAAATGACGAGGAAACGCTTTTGACTTAGAAACTGGAATGACGAGGAAATGACGAGGAAACGCTTTTGGACACTTGAAACTGGAGAGGAAGCCTGAACACACTTGATTAGAAATGACGAAAAAACGCTTTTGGACACTTGAAACTGGAGAGTGAAGCCTGAACACACTTGATAGAAATGACGAGGAAACGCTTTTGGACACTTTGGAAACTGAGAGTGAAGCTTGAACGGCGGCCTTGATAGAAAAATGACGAGAAACGCTTTTTGATTGAAATGACGAGGAAACGAACACACTTGATTTGAAAGTGAAGCCTGAACACATTTGATTAGAAATGACGAGGAAACTTTTTGGCACTTGAAACTTGAGTGAAGCCTGAAAACACACTTGATAGAAAATGACGAGGAAACGCTTTTGGACACTTGAAACTGGAGAGTGAAGCCTGAACACACTTTGATAGAAATGACGAGGAAACGCTTTTGGACACTTGAAACTGGAGAGTGAAGCCTGAACACACTTGATAGAAATGACGAGGAAACGCTTTTTGGACACTTGAAACTGGAGAGTGAAGTTTGAAACACTTGATAGAAATGACGAGGAAACGCTTTTGGACACTTGAAATTGAGAGTGAAGCCAGAACACACTTGATAGAAAAATGACGAGGAAACGCTTTTGGGAAACTGAGAGTGAAGCCTTGAACACACTCTGATAGAAATGAGGAAACTTTTGGACACTTGAAACTGGAGAGAGTTGAAGCCTGAACACACTTGATTGAAATGACGAGGAAACGCTTTTGGACACTTGAAACTGGAGAGTGAAGCCCTGGAACACACTTGATAGAAAATGACGAGGAAACGCTTTTGGACACTTGAAACTGGAGAGTGAAGCCTGAACACACTTGATTGAAATGACGAGGAAACGCTTTTGGACACTTGAAACTGAGAGAGTGAAGCCTGAACACACTTGATAGAAATGACGAGGAACGCTTTGGAGCCTGAACACTTGATAAAATGACGGAAACGCTTTGGACACTTGAAACTGAAGCCTGAACACACTTGATTGAAATGACGAGGAAACGCTTTTGGACACTTGAAACTGGAGATTGAAGCCTACACTTGAAAACACTTGATTGAAATGACGAGGAATTTTATTTTGGACACTTGAAACTGGAGATTGAAGCCTGAACACACTTTGATTGAAATGACGAGGAAACGAATTTTGGACACTTGAAACTGGAGAGTGAAGAGAGTGAAAAATGACGAACACACTTGACTGGAGAAATGACGAGGAAAGGCTTTTGGACACTTGAAACTGGAGAAGCCTGAACACACTTGATAGAAAAAATGAAACGCTTTTGGACACTTGAAACTGGAGAGAAGTCGAACACACTTGATAGAAATGACGAGGCTACGCTTTTCAACACTTGAAATGGAGAGTGAATGACTTGATAGAAAACGAGGAAATATTTTGGACACTTGAAACTGGAGAGGAAGCCTGAACACACTTGATAGAAATGACGAGGAAACGCTTTTGGACACTTGAACTGGAGATTGAAGCCTGAACACAATTGATAGAAATGACGAGGAAACGCTTTTGGACACTTGAAACTGAGAGTGAAGCCTGAACACACTTGATAGAAATGACGAGGAAACGCTTTTGGACACTTGAAACTGGAGAGTGAAGCCTGGAACACACTTGATTGAAATGACGAGGAAACGCTTTTGGACACTTGAAACTGGAGAGTGAAGCCTGAACACACTTGATAGAAATGACGAGGAAACGCTTTTGGACACTTGAAACTGGAGAGTGAAGCCTGAAACACACTTGATAGAAATGACGAGGAAACGCTTTTTGGACACTTGAAACTGAGAGTGAAGCCTGAACACACTTGATAGAAATGACGAGGAAACGCTTTGGACACTTTGAAACTGAGAGTGAAGCCTGAACACACTTGATAGAAATGACGAGGAAACGCTTTTGGACACTTGAAACTGGAGAGTGAAGCCTGAACACACTTGATAGAAATGACGAGGAAACGCTTTTGGACTGAACAACACACTGATTGAAATGACGAGGAAACGTTTGGACACTTGAAACTGGAGAGGAAGCCTGAAACACTTGATAGAAATGACGAGGAAACGCTTTTTGGACACTTGAAACTGGAGATTGAAGCCTGAACACACTTGATAGAAAATGACGAGGAAACGCTTTTGGACACTTGAAACTGGAGATTGGAAGCCTGAACAGACTTGATAGAAATGACGAGGAAACGCTTTTGGACACTTGAAACTGGAGAGGAAGCCTGAACACACTTGATTGAAATGACGAGAAACGCTTTTGGACACTTGAAACTGGAGAGTGAAGCCGAACACACTTTGATAGAAATGACGAGGAAACGCTTTTGGGCACTTGAAACTGGAGAGTGAAGCCTGAACACACTTGATAGAAATGACGAGGAAACGCTTTTGGACACTTGAAACTGGAGAGTGAAGCCTGAACACACTTGATAGAAAATGACGAAACGCTTTTTTGGAAACTTGAAACTGGAGAGTTTGGACACTTTGATAGAAATGACGAGGAAACGCTTTTGGACACTTGAAACTGAGAGTGAAGCTGAACACACTTGATAGAAATGACGAGGAAACGCTTTTGGACACTTGAAACTGGAAGTGAAGCCTGAACACACTTGATAGAAATGACGAGGAAACGCTTTTGGACACTTAAACTGGAGAGTGAAGCCTGAACACACTTGATTGAAATGACGAGGAAACGCTTTTGGACACTTGAAACTGAGATTGAAGCCTGAAACACACTTGATAGAAATGACGAGGAAACGCTTTTGGACACTTGAAACTGGAGAGTGAAGCCTGAACACACTTGATTGAAATGACGAGGAAACGCTTTTGGACACTTGAAACTGGAGAGTGAAGCCTGAACACACTTGATAGAAATGACGAGGAAACGCTTTTGGACACTTGAAACTGGAGAGTGAAGCCTGAACACACTTGATTGAAATGACGAGGAAACGCTTTTGGACACTTGAAACTGGAGAGTGAAGCCTGAACACACTTGATAGAAATGACGAGGAAACGCTTTTGGACACTTGAAACTGGAGAGTGAAGCCTGAAACACACTTTGATTGAAATGACGAGGAAACGCTTTGACACTTGAAACTGGAGAGAAGCCTGAACACACTTGATAGAAATGACGAGGAAACGCTTTTGACACTTGAAACTGAGAGAAGCCCTGAACACACTTGATTGAAATGACGAGGAAACGCTTTTGGACCATTGAAACTGAGAGTGAAGCCTGAACACACTTGATAGAAATGACGAGGAAACGCTTTTGGACACTTGAAACTGAGATTGAAGCCTGGAACACACTTGATTGAAATGACGAGGAAAACTTTTGGACACTTGAAACTGGAGAGGAAGCCTGAACACAATTGATAGAAATGACGAGGAAAACGCTTTTGGACACTTGAAACTGGAGTGAAGCCTGAACACACTTGATAGAAATGACGAGGAAACGCTTTTGGACACTTGAAACTGGAGAGTGAAGCCTTGAAACACACTTTGATTGATAGAAAATGACGAGGAAACGCTTTTGGACACTTGAAACTGGAGAGGAAGCCTGGAACACACTTGATAGAAAATGACGAACTTTTGGAAACTGGAGAGTGAAGCCTGAACACACTTGATAGAAATGACGAGGAAACGCTTTTGGACACTTGAAACTGGAGAGTGAAGCCTGAACACACTTGATTGAAATGACGAGGAAACGCTTTTGGACACTTGAAACTGGAGAGGAAGCCTGAACACACTTGATAGAAATGGACGAGGAAACGCTGGGACAATTGAAACTGGAGAGTGAAGCCTGAACACACTTGATTAGAAATGACGAGGAAACGCTTTTTGGACACTTGAAACTGGAGAGTGAAGCCTGAAAACACTTGATAGAAATGACGAGGAAACGCTTTTGACACTTGAAACTGGAGAGGAAGTTTGAACACACTTGATAGAAATGACGAGGAAACGCTTTGGACACTTGAAACTGGAGAGTGAAGCCTGAACACACTGATGATTGAAATGACGAGGAAACGCTTTTGGACACTTGAAACTGGAGAGTGAAGCCTGAACACCCTTGATTGAAATGACGAGGAAACGCTTTTTTGGACACTTGAAACTGAGAGTGAAGCCTGAACAAACTTGATTGAAATGACGAGGAAACGCTTTTGGACACTTGAAACTGGAGAGTGAAGCCTGAACACACTTTGATAGAAATGACGAGGAAACGCTTTTGGACACTTGAAACTGGAGAGCCTTTTGAAGCTTGAACAAAACACTTGATTGAAATGACGAGGAAACGCTTATTTGGACACTTGAAACTGGAGAGTGAAGCCTGAACACACTTGATAGAAATGACGAGGAAACGCTTTTTGGACAATTGAAACTGGAGAGTGAAGCCTGAACACACTTTGATTGAAATGACGAGGAAACGCTTTTGGACACCATTGAAACGTTGGAGAGTGAAGCCTGAACACACTTGATTGAAATGACGAGGAAACGCTTTTGGACACTTGAAACTGAGAGGAAGCTTGAACACACTTGATAGAAATGACGAGGAAACGCTTTTGGACACTTTGAAACTGGAGATGAAGCCTGAACACACTTGATTGAAATGACGAGGAAACGCTTTTGGACACTTGAAACTGGAGAGTGAAGCCTGAACACACTTGATAGAAATGACGAGGAAACGCTTTTGGACAGATATTTGAAAACTGAGAGAAAAGCGAGGAAACGCACACTTTAAAATTGAAGTGAAGAGGAACACGCTTTTTGGACACCTTTTTTTGGAAACTTAAAGAGATTGAAGCCTTGAACACACTTGATTGAAATGACGAGGAAACGCTTTTTGGACATTGAAACTGGAGATTGAAGCCTGAACACACTTGATTAGAAATGACGAGGAAACGCTTTGGACACTTAAAAACTGGAGAGTGAAGCCTGAACACACTTGATAGAAATGACGAGGAAACGCTTTTGGACACTTGAAACTGGAGAGTGAAGCCTGAAACACTTGATTGACGAAAATGACGAAAGGAAACGCTTTTGGACACTTGAAACTGAGAGTGAAGCCTGAACACATTTGATTGAAATGACGAGGAAAAACTTGAAACTGGAGGAAGCCTGAACACACTTGATAGAAATTGGACACTCTGAAACTGAGAGGAACACACTTGATAGAAATGACGAAACTTTTGGGAAAGAGATTGAAGCCTGAACACACTTGATAGAAATGACGAGGAGACGCTTTTGGACACTTAAAACTGGAGAGTGAAGCCTGAACACACTAGATTGAAATGACGAAGAAACGCTTTTGGGCACTTGAAACTGGAGAGTGAAACCTGAACACACTTGATAGACATGAGAGGGAACGCTTTTGGACACTTGAAACTGGGGAGTGAAGCCTGAACTCACTTAATAGAAATGACGAGGAAACGCTTTTGGACACTTGAAACTGGAGAGTGAAGCCTGAACACACTTGATAGAAATGACGAGGAAACGCTTTTGGACACTTGAAACTGGAGAGTGAAGCCTGAACACACTTGATTGAAATGACGAGGAAACGCTTTTGGACACTTGATTGAAACTGAGAGTGAAGCCTGAACACACTTGATAGAAATGACGAGGAAACGCTTTTGGACACACTTGAAACTGGAGAGTGAAGCCTGAACACACTTGATAGAAATGACGAGGAAACGCTTTTTTGGACACTTAAAACTGGAGAGTGAAGCCTGAACACACTTGATAGAAATGACGAGGAAACGCTTTGGACACTTGAAACTGGAGAGTGAAGCCACTTGATTGAAATGACGAGGAAACGCTTTTGGACACTTGAAACTGGAGAGGCCTGAACACACTTGATAGAAATGACGAGGAAACGCTTTTGGACACATTGAAACTGGAGAGTGAAGCCTGAACACTTTGATAGAAATGACGAGGAAACGCTTTTGGACACTTGAAACTGGAGAGTGAAGCCTGAACACACTTTGATAGAAATGACGAGGAAACGCTTTTTGGGACACTTGAAACTGGAGAGTGAAGCCTGGAACACACTTGATAGAAATGACGAGGAAACGCTTTTGGACACTTGAAACTGAGAGTGAAGCCTGAACACACTTGATAGAAATGACGAGGACGCTTGGACACTTTTGGAGACTTGAAACTTGATTGAAATGACGAGGAAACGCTTTTGGACACTTGAAAACTGGAGAGTGAACTGAACACACTTGATTGAAATGACGAGGAAACGCTTTTGGACACTTGAAACTGGAGAGTGAAGCCTGAACACACTTGATTGAAATGACGAGGAAACGCTTTTGGACACTTGAAACTGGAGAGTGAAGCCTCGAACACATTTTTTTGATTGAGAAATGACGAGAAAACGACTTTTTGGACACTTGAAACTGGAGAGTGAAGCCTGAACACACTTGATTGAAATGACGAGGAAACGCTTTTGGACACCTTGAAACTGAGAGTGAAGCCTGAACACACTTGATTGAAATGACGAGGAAACGCTTTTGGACACTTGAAACTGAGAGTGAAGCCTGAACACACTTGATAGAAATGACGAGGAAACGCTTTTGGACACTGAAACTGGAGAGTGAAGCCTGAACACACTTGATAGAAATGACGAGGAAACGCTTTTGGACACTTGAAACTGGAGAGTGAAGCCTGAACACACTTGATTGAAATGACGAGGAAACGCTTTTTTGGACACTTGAAACTTTTGGGAGAGTGAAGCCTGAACAACTTGATTGAAAACACACGCTTTTTGATAGAAATGACGAGGAAAACGCTTTTGGACACTTGAAACTGGAGAGTGAAGCCTGATGAACACACTTGATAGAAAATGACGAGGAAACGCTTTGGACACTTAAAACTGGAGAGTGAAGCCTGAACACACTTGATAGAAATGACGAGGAAACGCTTTTGGACACATTGAAACTGAGAGTGAAGCCTGAACACACTTGATTGAAATGACGAGGAAACGCTTTTGGACACTTGAAATTGGAGAGTGAAGCCTGAACACACTTGATTGAAATGACGAGGAAACGCTTTTGGACACTTTGAAACTGAGAGTGAAGCCTGAACACACTTGATTAGAAATGACGAGGAGACGCTTTTGGACACTTGAAACTGGAGTGAAGCCTGAACACACTTGATTGAAATGACGAGGAAACGCTTTTGGACACTTGAAACTGGAGATTGAAGCCTGAACACACTTGATAGAAATGACGAGGAAACGCTTTTTGGACACTTGAAACTGGAGAGTGAAGCCTGAACACAATCGATAGAAATGACGAGGAAACGCTTTTGGACACTTGAAACTGGAGAGTGAAGCCTGAACACACTTGATAGAAATGACGAGAAACGCTTTTTGGACACTTAAAACTGGAGAGTTTGAAGCCTGAACACTTGATTGAAATGACGAGGAAACGCTTTGGACACTTTGAAACTGAGAGTGAAGTTTGAACACACTTGATAGAAATGACGAGGAGACGCTTTTGGACACTTGAAACTGGAGAGTGAAGCCTGAACACACTTGATTGAAATGACGAGGAAACGCTTTTGGACACATTGAAACTGGAGAGTGAAGCCTGAACACACTTGATTGAAATGACGAGGAAGACGCTTTTGGACACTTGAAACTGGAGATTGAAGCCTGAACACACTTGATAGAAATGACGAGGAAACGCTTTTGGACACTTGAAACTGGAGATTGAAGCCTGAAAACACACTTGATTGAAATGACGAGGAAACGCTTTTGGACAGAGTGAAGCCCGTGAAACTGGAGAGTGAAGCCTGAACACACTTGATAGAAATGACGAGGAAACTTTTTTGGACACTTGAAACTGAGAGTGAAGCCTGAACACACTTGATTGAAATGACGAGGAAACGCTTTTGGACACTTGAAACTGGAGAGTGAAGCCTGAACACACTTGATAGAAATGACGAGGAAACGCTTTTGGACACTTGAAACTGGAGAGGAAGCCTGAACACACTTGATAGAAATGACGAGGAAACGCTTTTGGACACTCTAAAACTGGAGAGTGAAGCCTGAACACAATTTGATAGAAATGACGAGGAAACGCTTTTTGGACACTTGAAACTGGAGAGTGAAGCCTGAACACACTTGATAGAAATGACGAGAAAACGCTTTTGGACACTTGAAACTGGAGAGTGAAGCCTGAACACACTTGATAGAAAATGACGAGGAGACGCTTTTGACACTTGAAACTGGAGAGGAAGCCTGAACACACTTGATAGAAATGACGAGGACGCTTTTGGACTTGAAAACTGAGAGGAAACTTGATAGAAATGACGTGTAGAAGACACTGAAGCCTGAACACACTTGATTGAAATGACGAGAAGACGCTTTTTGGACACTTGAAACTGGAGAGTGAAGCCTGAACACACTTGATTGAAAATGACGAGGAAACGCTTTTGGACACTTGAAACTGGAGAGTGAAGCCTGAACACACTTGATAGAAAATGACGAGGAAACGCTTTTGGACACTTGAAACTGGAGAGTGAAGCCTTGAACACACTTGATAGAAATGACGAGGAGACGCTTTTGGACACTTGAAACTGGAGAGTGAAGCCTGAACACACTTGATAGAAATGACGAGGAAACGCTTTTGGACACTTGAAACTGGAGAGTGAAGCCTGAACACACTTGATTGAAATGACTTTTGGACACTTAAAACTGGGAAACGCTGATTGAAATGGACACTTGAAACTGGAGAGTGAAGCCTGAACACACTTGATAGAAATGACGAGGAAACGCTTTTGGACACTTGAAACTGGAGAGAAGCCTGAAAACTTGATTGAAATGACGAGTAGAAGCTTTTGGAACTTGAAACTGGAGAGTGAAGCCTGAACACACTTGATAGAAATGACGAGGAGCTTTTGGACACTTGAAACTGGAGAGTGAAGCCTGAACACACTTGATAGAAATGACGAGGAAACGCTTTTGGACTTGAAACTTAAAACTGGAGAGCTTTTGAAGAAACCTGAACACACTTGATTGAAATGACGAGGAAACGCTTTTGGACACTTAAAACTGGAGAGTGAAGCCTGAACACACTTGATTGAAATGACGAGGAAACGCTTTTGGACACTTGAAACTGGAGAGTGAAGCCTGAACACACTTGATTGAAATGACGAGGAAACGCTTTTGGACACTTGAAACTGGAGATTGAAGCCTGAACACACTTGATTGAAAATGACGAGGAAACGCGTTTTTGGACACCTTGAAACTGGAGAGGAAGCCTGAACACACTTGATTGATTGAAAAATGACGAGGAGACGCTTTTGGACACTTGAAACTGGAGAGAGGAAGCCTGAACACACTTGATAGAAATGACGAGGAAACGCTTTTGGACACTTGAAACTGGAGAGGAAGCCTGAACACACTTGATTGAAATGACGAGGAAACGCTTTTGGACACTTGAAACTGGAGAGTGAAGCCTGAACACACTTGATTGAAATGACGAGGAAACTTTTTGGACACTTAAAACTGAGAGAGTGAAGCCTGAACACACTTGATAGAAATGACGAGGAAACGCTTTTTTTTGGACACTTGAAACTGGAGAGAGAAGCCTGAACACACTTGATTGAAAATGATTGAAATGACGAGGAAACGCTTTTGGACACTTGAAACTGGAGAGTGAAGCCTGAACACACTTGATTGAAATGACGAGGAAACGCTTTTGGACACTTGAAACTGGAGAGTGAAGCCTGAACACACTTGATTGAAATGACGAGGAAACGCTTTTGGACACTTGAAACTGGAGAGTGAAGCCTGAACACACTTGATAGAAATGACGAGGAAACGCTTTTGGACTTTGAAACTTGAAAACTGGAGAGGAAGCTTTGAACACACTTGATAGAAATGACGAGGAAACGCTTTTGGACACTTGAAACTGGAGAGTGAAGCCTGAACACACTTGATAGAAATGACGAGGAAACGCTTTTGGACACTTGAAACTGGAGAGTGAAGCCTGAACACACTTGATTGAAATGACGAGGAAACGCTTTTGGACACTTGAAACTGGAGAGTGAAGCCTGAACACACTTGAT